TCCATAACCTCTGGCTACTGCTCCCACCAGGAGTCCAGCTGCCAATATAGCTGGCAGTGATAATCCTACACCCACACCCAGCAGAGCCCCCAGTAAAGCCCCAGTAGTCACTCCTGCCACAAATCTCAGAGACTTGGTCCTCACTCTCTCTCTTGCTCGTCTCCTGATCTCAGACTCCTCTGCTTTCTCTCTTCTCTCCTCCATCTCTTCTTTTATCCTTTTCACCTCCATCTCTATAGCTTCTGCTATTACCTGGAGTGATTTATTTGTGTAATGACTGCCTCTGTTGTCTCTCACCATGTTCTCTATAGTTGTCAGCAGCTGTTTAATCTGAAAGCTGTTGCTCCTGTACTCTGATTCATCCAGGTTTCCTCCAGAACTTGTAGATCTTTCAGACCCTTGGCCCGGTTCATGATCAGGTGTTGATGATCTTGGTTCTAAGAGCCTGTTGTTCAGTTCTTCCAGTGTCTGTACAGCCTGTGAATCCCCAGCTTCTCTCTTTTCTATCATCATTTTCTTTAGTTGTTCCAGAAGGTCTGCAGATTGAGCATTTTTATCATCATTTTTGTTCCACTGCTGAGAGTCAATGACATGGACTCGACCTTCACACTTATCAACAAGATCCTTCAGATCCTTTTTTATCTTTACATACTCTGTAATGGTCTGGTTTTCTTTAAGCTCATCACCACGTGTGAAGAGGATGACTGTGTGCTTCAGGGCTTCCTCCCCAAACCACTTCAGTATCTTCCTCACAGTGTCTTCATCCTCTTTGGTGTGTCTTCCCACTTCCAGCACTAAGATGAAGGCATGTGGACCAGGAGCACATTCAGTGAGACAGGATATTATGGAATACTTCAGATCCTTATCAGACCTGCCAGTGTCAAAGATCCCTGGTGTGTCAGTTACTGTAAATTTCCAGCCATTTATGTTTCCCTCTTCTGTTTGACAGTCTATTGTTTCACTGATAGGATCAGAGGAAACGTCAAACTTCTCTTCCCCCAGGATAACATTTCCTGCGCTGCTCTTCCCAGATCCTGTTTTTCCCAAAAGCACAATTCTTACTTCAGCACGTGCTTTGGGAAAGAAACACGGTATCAGTTACAATGAATGGCACCATAAATGTGGTCATAATGAACATGAACATGACATATTGCTGTGGAAATTAACATTCTGTATCATCTTTAGCAGATCTTGAATGCAATTACTTTATTCCTTCAGCAGGTGGCGGTGCTGAGCTACACACAGCATGAGCACATGGGAAAGACCCTGACAGTGAGAGGTACTTATTTACTCCCTTTATTACTCAGATATGAACTCTTTCTGCTTAGCCAAAGGAAAACCTCATTTCTATACATAGCTTGATTACCTGAACACTAACAGAAAAGCTTAGACATGCAGCCACACTTAGCAATTTCACGACAGATGCTTCTGTCCAGCTCAGTGGATGTCAGTCTGGCTCAGGGGTCGGCAACCAAATTGCAAAAAGCCCACTTTTGGAAAACCATCGGAGCCGCAGAATTTTACTGGAAACAAACATTTATTCTAAATATTTTGTCAACATTTTTATAGACAACAACAATAAAGTGTAAAGAAACAAATAATTTTCAGTGTAGCATGGACCCTCGACCAAATGCCATGTCCCTAATTTTATTAATTAATATCATTTTCTTTTTTAAATTAACAGGTTAAGGTGTTCCACTACTGATAAAACAGTCTTTATCGTATTCAGCATGATGCAGGGCTTTCCATTTTTATAATCTCCCGAGACGCCACAAAACTGGCAGCAACTGTGGCACAACTTTTAAAGCACAAGCTGACAAAATAGCTGTGAATGCATATGCTACTGTCCATTCATATATAAATTCTCGATATACATCTATTTTTTTCCCTATTTCACATCTTGATAACTGTTTTTAGCTGCCTTGCGACAAAATTTATTTAGATTTGTTTCGATACTTTTACTGTTATAGGCTATTATTTAAAACCTCTTTGCTCGATTCAAAATGAAAAGTGGTACCTATTGGACCAATATTATCCAATCAGCATAAGCCACCTTAACTAAAGATTTTTTGAGGCGCTGCAGTATTCAGAACCGATTACTGTAGCATATGTACTGAATTTCGCTGGAAGTACGTATGCGTGATAGTCCGCTTTGGAGGTGCCTCCGGTTGCCGACCCCTGGTAAAGCCGATACCCCAGTTACAAAATCTCTGAAAATCAACTTGTGTGCTTCAGAGAGAGATAGACGGAGCACAGCTGGGAGACCCAGACAGCAGAGCAGAAAAGCCAGTGTGGTAACTGACTCACCAGCCATGCTTTCTTATAGGTCGGTGTCAGAAGATGCTTTGCACTGAGTGCCTATAACTGCAAGTGAAGAAACATGAAGGTTATGGTCTGTTTCAGGTATAAATTCACACAAAGTCTCACATTGGCGCAACTGTTTCAAAATTCTTTTACAGGTAATAAATATATGAATAAGGAACTTTTTACACATGTCTGGAATAACGAGATGGGAGGCATAAAACATAATTCATGTATAATTTAAAAAACTTATTCAACATGAGCAGACTGGATACATTTCTATAAAAAAAAAAAATTAAATCTGTAATTACATTAACTGCACCTTCATAGTGCCTTAATAATGCATTATATATGCAATATTTGTAGAATATTCAGTGCAGCTTTCTAATGCATTTAGAATACATTCATAGAACATTCATAAGCAGGATGTAAGTATATCGTAATATTCTAACATACTTTAATATACTTTAATAAACATTATTTGATTACAATGACATGATAATACCAAATATTATGATCATATTATATATAATGTTTATTAATGGTTATTTAAGCTCTTAAGGTATGTTAGGATGTATACTTACAGGCTGCTTATGAATGTTCTATGAATGCTTTATGAAGGTGCAGTTTATGTATTACTAATGTTTCTGGTGACCTATACAATAACTAAATAAAGTAAATTTTGTATCAATGTAAATTAGTACGAATTGTTCCAGTAAAAGTTCAAGCTGTATAAATGAAACCGAATGTATTTAAAAAGCAACTAAACAGGTAAAAATGGTCAATGTTCATCCCCTTATAATTTCTTTACATTATTACTGAATTTACCACCAAATTTCAATGAGTTCTGAATTAATTCAAATCAAGTTTTATTTTTCATATATGCAATTACAATCAGCACAATATCCAGTGAAATTCTTGGTTGTCTGACTCCAAGACTGTGTTTTAACAGGAAACAGAAAAGTACAAAAATATAAACATTAAACATTGACAATGATTATAAATATGCATAAATAAAGTACAGTCACCTCAGGTCTCCTGATACAGTTGTAGCTGAAGTGTCTGCAGCTGATCTCCTGCCGTTAGATTATATGCGTCAAAGGTATTAACCTGTTCCTGCAGTGACATTGACATTTCCCATCATGCAAAGCTGCATGCCATTGTATACAGTATATTGCAAAATAGATCCCCACCCTGAAAGTGTTTATCAAGGTTCCTCTTATGGAATAGAAATTGAAAGTTAGCTGCATTGTGAGATTGCTGTACTCTCTTGAGCGTTAGGCATAGAAGATATTGCTTGTTCTTGTGGATGGATGGGTGTGCACTTGAGTGGGGAACATTCTGTATGGTTAGAGGAAGGAAAGACAGAATAAATCTGGTAGCTAGACAGGAAAAAAACGAGTATGTGAGGGGTGGGGTGCCCCGGTGTTAATGGGCAGAGGTATGAGAAACTGGAAGGGGAGAATCATGCATGTACTAATTTGAGCTTAATAATGTGAAGCATGTAAACTTAAGAAGCATGTTTTGAGAACAGTAGCATAATCAGTGTTAGTACACAGCTTCAAGATCACCTGACCTCTTGCAGCCTATGGGAGGAGTTTCAGTCTGGATTCAGGACAAAGCACAGCACTGAGACGGCCCTGGTCAAGGTCGTAAATGACCTGCTCATTACTGCTGACTCGGGCCATGTCAGTATTCTCCTGCTTTTAGACCTCACAGCTGCTTTTGACACGGTCTGCCACAACACACTGCTCACCCGGCTGGAGGCACTGTTGGGCATTTCAGGCACTGCACTTGCTTAGTTTACATCATATCTCACGGGTAGGGAACAGTTTGTCTCTATTGGTGATTTCAGGTCCCCTAGTGCTCCCCTCTCACATGGTGTCCCACAAGGTTCTGTCCTTGGCCCCCTGCTCTTCATCATCTACCTCCTCCCTCTTGGTCACATTCTCCGTCATTACGGCTTAAATTTCCATTTGTATGCCAATGACACACAAATTTACATTCACACCTACATTTCTCCCATCCACTCCCTCCCTCGAATCTGGTCACTTGCCTCAATGACATTAGTAACTGGATGGCACACAAATTTCTCAAACTCAACCATGACAAGACTGAAGCCATTCTTATTGCCACACCAACACTGCTGAAGAAGATAAATCAGTCACATTTTTCCATACCTGGCTATTTCACCACTGCTACCTCTGAAGTTAATAACCTAGGTGTCATCTTTGATTCTTCACTGTCTTTTGATTCCCGTATAAAACTTGTCTCCAGAACGGCTTATTTTCATCTAAAAACCATCTCCAAACTCCGCCCCTCACTCAACTTTGCTACTGCTGAGACCCTCATTCATGCCTTCATAACCTCCAGACTCGATTACTGTAATTCCCTCCTTATTGGTCTCCCAGCAAAATCATTAAACAGACTACAACATATCCAAAACTCTGCAGCTAGACTTCTCACCCATATAAGACCATGGCAACATATCACTCTTATCCTCCATCAGTTACACTGGCTTCCAGTACAATCTTGGATTCAGTTCAAAATCCTTCTGCTCATCTACAAAGCCCAGGACAACCTAGCACCAGCTACCTTGCCGATCTTCTCACCTTATACAAACCCACCCACACCTTACGCTCTACTGATGCACACCTTCTATCCACCCCCTCTGCTCATCTCTGTTCCATGGGTGACAGGGCATTTAGTGTGGCTGGCCCTAAACTCTGGAACACCCTCCCACTTGCACTACGTACATGCACTTCACTCTCCATATTCAAATCCATGCTCAAAACTCACCTCTTCACTCTGGCCTTCTCAGACTACTCTTGACTTTTTGTGATTTTCTTTTATATTTATTTTATGTTGTTTTGGTTGATGTCAATCTGGCCCTGGTGTGTCTCTTAATCAATGCTACCTATTTGTTGTTTATAGTCTAACTACTTTTATATTTTATGTTTTGCTTTTACTGTACAGTGTCCTTGGGTACTTTGAAAGGCGCTTCAAATAAAATGTATAATTATTATTATTATTACAATCAATGAGTAACAGTACAATACAATTTTGAAAGGCGCTTCAAATAAAATGTATTATTATTATTATTATTACAATCAATGAGTACAGGAAAACCAACTTTGTTAAACGAAGGCCACATAAGGGAGTGCTGAAAGAGAGCATTGGATGATTGCATGATCATTGTTTTTGTTTGGGGGTGTGCAAGCACTACAGCATGTGGTCACACTGTCTCACTGACTGCATTATCCTGCTAATAAAGAAGACTTTACCTTACCAATTTTGAGTCACAGACTTTGTATTATGTTTTCTCTGGAGCTAAGGTATAGGAGGGTCGTTCGGGGATACATTTATTTTCTTCCACACCCTTCATTCCCACAGATTGCTGCTTTCCAAGAGGCAGGCAGCACAAAGGAAGGTGATAAAATGACAGTAGTACTTTCAGAAAGAATCTTCTTTAAAACAGGGCAGATAATAACAGAAAAGAAACCAGACCAGACCCTCTAATCTGAGGCATTTTCTTTTTCTTAATGCCATCTGCCATAAAGACAAACGTACAAT